TCAAGTCTCACAGTTTTTATACAAAACAAATCGTACATATCCGAATAAGGTCACTATCATCTTATAAAAGAACCAGACATAGAAGTAGCCCCCTCCCCCTCCAATTGTTTATTTTTTAGTTTTTGTTTTACTCATTAACATTGCAATTTAATTGCATAGTTCATTCATACCAGTATGTTCTCACTATGACAATTGACTATAAAGTGCCTGTTCAATACTTTCATAATTGATTTACATATGGACTGGATACATTGATATTTACTATTCTTTATGGATAACAGATATGGTATTTTCTTTTTTTATTGTAAAAGTTATTTTTGTTATTATCAAAATATCTCTTTAATAAAATATATTTGAAAAGAAATAGCAGGATTAATGCTAGATAATGCCAGCAGGGAGAGACAATGCAGAAGGAGAGCTATAGACCTTAAGAATCTGTCCCTCAGCGTGCCTTCGAGGTCACCTATACTAGACTAAACATCCCAATCTTGCTGCAATATGCTGGGTTCCGCAGTCCTGCAATCACTCCATGTGCTATAAAGAAAGCCATGTGGGCAAAGTGACCAGAACCGGCTGCAACAACAGAGCCCTGATGATCGTATTGCCGGTCAGGCGGCTCTTCCAAAGGGGCTATGAGGAAACTTCACTAGTGATGTTTAATTGGAATCCTATTGCTCTGCTTTTTTTATTTTTTTTAATCCACTTTAAAATAATTGCATTGATTTTTTTTTTTTTTTATTTTTTTTTACTGTATATTTGCTCATTACTTACAGAAATATGGGTGGAGAACCTGCTCCGGACTCCTGGAAGGGTAACCTCAATGTGTCCTATAATATCGGCCCTGGGTATAAAGACAGCCAGTCGTCACAGTGAGTTCTGTCTGCCAATTTCCTTTTTATATCTGACATACTTATTTATAAAATGTGTTCACCGGAAAATACATTAACATTTCACTTTTGTTGTGTACAATTAAGCTTAAGAAAAAAAGACTGTTCATTAAACAGTGAATTGTAATGAAATGAAACCCCAATGGCCAAATTTTAGCTAAAATAGAAGATGATTTTTACCCCAAACCACATATTTTATCAAAAGTTTACTATTCTGTCTTCAATTCGTTACTGCTGGTTTTTGACCATAAAAAATGTCTAATTATTGAGTGAAGTTTAAATCTGCAAGCAGCAAGTCTATATTTATCTGCTTCTTGATAAAAGCACCATTTATCTTTTCATGTAGGAAAATCAAAATGCACATCCAGACTTACAATGAAATAAGAAGAGTTTATAACGTGATTGCTACCATCAAAGGAGAAGTGGAGCCAGGTGACAAGTGACTTTGCTAGTCATAACACTAATAGTGACAACTGTACCAGTTCCCATAATGCTTTGCTGAATATGCATATGGACTTAACCTGAAAGCATAGTTGATATGGAGAATATTTTGAATTTGGCTATTCTGGCATACAAAATAACACATTCACTTTCAATTTACTATGAATCCCTATCCCAACAGATTAAACTTTAGCAATGTATGACAGACATAATTGTAAAATGTAAATACACAGAATAGTGTTCAAAATAGAAAAGAAAAAAAAAACTACCACAATAATGATCATTAGTAATCATTCCTTCATATTTTTTATTTGCGTAAGTGCCAAAAATTAGTGCCTACAAAAAAATCCAACAGAAATAGAATGTTCAAAGAGCTCATTAGCATGCATTCTTAATTGGCCCTTCTCCTGTCTTGTATGCTGATCCCATATGCTGGACCATACCCTAATCTAGTGCCTGCTCCTCCATTCTAAGCTTCCACTGGATTCTTCTCTTCCATTCTCGTGTCAAACTTCTGCCCCATCTCTTTATTGGCCAAACTATACGATTTCTCTCCTCCTGGTTTGCCTTCATAGATCATTCTCACAGCTACCTGGATTTGAGAATCTCCAATTCCTTGACTCCAGTGATATTATCTTCAGTTAATGTATTTTATTTTATGTTTGTCCTGTTCAGAAACATGCTACCTGGCAGTCCTTCCCACTTGTAAGACTTTCTGGGCCTTAGTAAAATAGACTGCAGTTTACCAAATACGGAATCCTAGCTCCTGACACTAAAGGCCAGATTATAATAAATGAGATAAACGTATCAATGCAATGTTTTGTGGACCCAGGACATACTTGAAAATGAGAGAAATCTCAATGTATCCATCCTGCTAAAATATTTTATAAATAAATAAACCTAATTGAATAGCATTTTCCCCATAGATGCCAATAGAAAACTGCCATTCAATTATAAGAGATGAGCTTGTCTCATCTAATAGAATCATGAGAAGATAAATTGATTGTGATTATATTCTCTTTAAACTGTTCTAAAACACTTTACTTTTCTGTTACCAATTCAAAAGTGTCGCAATGTACTTACTGGATTCTAGGAATCATTGACTTGCATAATTAAAAGAAGGGTATAAATATATGTTAAAAAGCTATACAAAGATTAGCATTCATTAAAATAATTAATCTACTGTTGTTCTCAGACAGGTATGTCATTCTTGGTGGTCACAGGGATTCCTGGGTTTTTGGTGCTATTGATCCTCAAAGTGGAGCAGCGGTAGTAAATGAAATTGTGAGGAGTGCTGGAAAATTAAAAACACAAGGTAAATGAAATCTAGAAATATACATGGTCTTCTTCCCTTTAAAAAGACACTCCAATCTATATGAACCCCACATAGATCATGGTGCAAATTTCTACTGTCACTTTCTTCTTTTACTTAGAAAAACATACATTTTCAAAATGTCCCTAATTTAAAGAAACTCCACAGGGGACTTTTTTTTTTTTAAATAAATCATTATTTAGTATTAAAACATACATGCATTTATTAAGGCAAGTATGCATTGGGGGTATATTTTATAAAATGGGATACTCCTTATCCATAGAACATTTCAGCAAGCTGCTCGTAGTGCAAGTGCTTTGTGGATGTGGAGTGGTCCTTTAATTACATTAGAGATTATGACTCCCTCTGCCTATCCAAATACTAGTCAAGAGTGCATTCCATTTAGATCTACAGCTCCATTCATAACTCCATGGAGATATGCGTAAGAAGCGGTTATATTTATTCTTTACGTTGAATGGAACTGCTGCAGTTTCTTTATGGAGTACACCATGCTTGTATAACAAATCCAGTTTGGGGGAAGGGAATACAGTGGGACCTCGGTTTACAAACGCCTCGGTTAACATAATTTTCGGTTTACAAATAAAAATCCATTGAAAATAATGCCTCGGTTTACAATTTGTTTTCACAATACAAAGCAAGTTTCCCCAGGATGCATTGCACCTGGGAGGTTTATAGCACCGCCCTATGCATGCTGGAGCCAGTGGGTAGCACGTGGTGTCGAGCGTGGAGGTGTTGGAGCGGCTTTTGCATTAAGTTTTGGAGCCATTCTGGAAATTGTTTGCAGTTTGGGGACTTTTTGGTGCATTTCTCAAGCTGTGGAAAGGTAGGGAGCTGAGCTTCGTTGTTTTCATGCCTTTTATTGTGTGTTCTGCATTGTGGGTTGGTTTCCATGCCAGCTGATTTTGACTTTTTTCTGACCTCCAGAACGGATTCATTGGTTTTCAATGCATTCCTATGGGAAACGGCGTTTCAGTTTACAAATTTTTCGCAATAAGAAACGTCCCAGAGAACGCATTAAATTCGTAAACCGAGGTCCCACTGTATATAAAAGTATATGTATGCAGGAACTTTAAAAGTATATATGTTTTTTTTTGTTTATATTTGTATTTTTTGCGTTCTATAAGACGTCAGATTGCGGTTGGAATGCACATTTTTTAAATCAAGAAGCCTCTATGAATCTATACTGCTGGTCTTCTAAGAAAATATGCCTTTGGGGTAAATTAAAAAGAAATTGTCTTATGATGCTTGAGATAAGCAAATGACTATACTGGTCAATAGCATAAAATTTGAGGTTATTAACAGTTAAATGAAGTGGTCGATGTATTTAACAAATTGTGATGTTTCATTTAGTAACATAGTTGTCTAGGATGAAAAAAAAATACTGAAGTCTAAAAAGTTCAACCATGAAGCCTATTCGTTTATGCTGTTGACCCCAAAAAAGGCAAAAAATCGAATTGCAGCAACTTGAAGTGAAAAATTGAGTTTAGTTGTTGCAATTTATTTCCTATTTATTCATTAACATTAACAGTATGTCCATGATAAAACTTCTCTGAAGGATTTGGATAAATTGGAGGACTGGGCAGGCAAGTGGCAGATGAGCTTCAATGCAGATAAATGCAAAGTCGTGCATTTTGCAATAAGGAACCCACAAGCCACTTGTACATTAAATATGGCTGCGGTATGGATAACATTAAATGAAAAGGACCTGGGAACAATTATAGATCCCAAACTAGACAACAGTATGCAATGTCGGTATACTGTTGCAAAAGGTAGTAATCTGCTTTAGTCTAGAAAAAAGGGGTTTGATTCAAGAGATCAAAATATAGTTTTGCGTCTTTACAAATCAATGGTAAAACTCCACCTTGATAAATATGTGATGCAAGTTTGGGCACCAGTTTTAAAGAAGGATACTGCAGAAATAGAAAAGTGCAGAGGTGGGCTACAAAATTAATAAGGAGGATGGAAAACATTAGTTATGAAGAATGGTTAGAAAAACTGCATTGGTATTCTTTAGAACAAAGGCACCTTAGAGTGGATATGATTGCACGTCACAAAAATATATACAGGGTCAGTACATACTGTTATGACCTAAGCTGTTAATTAGCAGGCATATACAACAGACAAGAAGTCACCCATTGAGACTGGAAGAAAAGCATTTTCGCTTATAGCAAAGTAAAGGGTTCTTTACCATAAGAACAATAAAGATATGGAATACTCTGCCTAAAGAGGCATTTATTTTTTAAATTTCTATAGAATCTGATATTTATAAAAGTTGTTGATCCAAGAAGAAATCTGATTGCCATTATGGATTGAAGAAGTTTTTTTATTTCCTTTTTGTGGCATAATTGGAAATGGCTACAATTGGTTTTTTTGCTTTCTCTTGGATCAACAGCATAAAAGAACGGACTTCAGGGTTTAACTTGATGGGCTTTAGTCTCTTTTTAACCTGGACAGCAACACGTTAATAATAGTTATACCAAATTCTTAAGCTAAATACAATTGTGTTTTTTGACATGACTGATACACTTAAAAGTTCACATGGTCACCAATATATATACTACACTGTGATTTTTATATATTACATTTTCTAGCTCAATGAATACACTATATCAGAAAAAAATATAGACAATAGTTACTGGATTTAAATATGGATTTGTGTTTGACAGGTTGGAGACCTAGAAGGACCATCATATTTGCGAGTTGGGATGCTGAAGAATTTGGACTGCTGGGATCTACAGAATGGGCTGAGGTAATGCATAGGACTGTGGAAAATATACGGGCTGAAGGAGTATTTATTATGACATGACAGAATGTAAATAAGGAGAACTGATCAGATTTCAACAGGATACATTCTAGATTTAAGCAGGTCTTTTGATAAGAGGCTTCAGTAGAACTAATGATCATTTTGGAAATTCACATTGGACATTGGACTCTAGAGTGAGGACATATTTGAAAGTTACTAGAAAATCCAAGACAAACAAGGAAAACTTGTCGCATTGGCGGTTGTTCGTGGTTCGCTACTGGGCATTGGTGAAAAATATTCACTACAACGTTTTTAACAGTTGGCATATATTGCTCTTATCATACAGACTATTACTGTGGAAAAAGGTCAAATGTTTATAGTAACACTAAAGTATATAATTTAAACACAATAATTATGCATATTTAAAAGAGATTGGTAATTTTTGGTTTGTGAATTTTGCATTTTACATTTTTAAAGCATCTTCCTAATTTTGGCTGGGTAATACAATGGTAAAAGTATTCCATCAACCAAATGTTCTGCTTTCTTTTCCACATCAGGTCAAAATACATTTTATTGGCGAATGCATTCTATATAAGAATGCATGCCAAAGATATTTAAAAATAGCAATTTTTTTTTTTTTTTTTACAAAAAAAGAAAAATTATTTTAGCTACAGTCTATAAATATCACAGACTATCGTCTTGATGTATATTTTTGGATACGTTTTATTTAATATTTATGGATAAACTATTATTTAATATGAAAATATTAGAAATATATTTTTTGAACAGAGTATTAGAGGATATTTCGTATTTATTAAAATAAAACTGAACAGATCATAAGTTGGGGTTTTTTTTCTATAATTTTGCAGTGCAGGTAATTACAGACAAGCTTGTGATTTCACAACAGCATCGACAAGCGCTCGGTATCATACATGTTGATACATAGGTATGACACGTAAATACATTACACTATTTCAAAGTAAAATAAAGTGATTTTAAACAAAATATTTTAGACAGGTCTAGAATTAGCTCTAAAACAAAATTTAATAAACTGCAGGTTATGCACAAGCAGGCGTTGAATACTAGAGTAAATGTGAATTAGCAGAAGGCCTAAACCTGCACATATAGATCAGAGGTAGATTGAGCATTGTAACAACTTACGTAGGTTAGATTATGCAAGGTTAGATAACAAGGCTTGCATAAAACCAAATCATCTATAATCATGAACAACTACACAACAGGTAGCTCTTAGTGGTTATAGCAAAGGCCCGATGCATGCGCCAAAAATCAGAGGTAAATCAAAAAACTAGTGGTCATATGCATTTCGAACATTAAAAAACAAAATAAAATAAAACCAGCTGCAAGTTATTTACAAGATACTTTACGGTAAAGTTAGACCCAGAAGCAGTTCGTGCCTTTCACCCCAGCCAGCTTTAGGGACATTATGAGTGAATCCGAGGTGAGGTCAGAGAGGAAACCTGTGCAGGGTATCGTCACGCTGTAAGGCAGCCACCATTTTCCACACTCTGAACTTGAATGAGGATGTGGAGCTTTGGGTGCCCTCCATGATGAGATACTCGCTGCCGCAGCCTGACCCTGTGGTCGTGAAGGTCACCACGGGTGCTTGGACGGACCACCTCTCCGCTGTCTGCTTATCCCCTGCCTGCCTTGTGTCCGATGGGGCCCACTTGGGTCCGCCTTAGGTGCTGTCGTGGTGTAGTTAGGCTGATGAAGGGTAGGCTGCTTTGGTACTGTCTCAACTCTGACGCCATTCGCCCGCCTCTTTTGCAGTCACAACCAAAACGCTGATCAAAGCAGGCTAGCAGTCTGCTACAGTGGTGTGTGAGATCAGTACAGGAGCTGTCTTAATGATAGCAGTCGCCATCTTAGGTAAGTTGAATTGCATTCGTTTCTCGTGCCTGTTGCCATACACCATGGCCTGTTTAGATCCAGGCTTGGAGTAATGCTGTGTTGGACCAGGATAATCCCCACCGTTCCAAAAGGGGGGGGGGGGGAGGGTCTGCGAAACCATGCAGGACTTAGAAGCTGGAAGACCGGCCATGTCTCCTGCCACGCATCACTGCTAGGCCGCTAGATGGACCTGCTACTACGAGTGCCTCCGAAGAGTTCACTATGCATCAACTCTGTTTCCACTAAGAGCACTATGGAGAGGGTAAGTAAGGTACCCAGTAAACTTGGGTAAGTCGCAGTATTGTTAAGAGCTCCTGGTGGATGCAACTACAGTGTTTAAGCTCTGCCCCATATGTTGTATTTTTTTGTTTTTTTATCACGATCACATTATTTAAAAAAAAAAAATGCTTTTATTTAGGGGAGAGGGGGAAAAAGAGAGAGAAAGAAAGCTAGTGATTTCAGCATCTGGGTGATTGTTACTTATCCAGTAAAGATTGTTTGCTTATAAAAAAAAAAAGTCTAGGAATATAAAATGATAGAATTTTAGCATGTAATGTGTTTTCACAGGAAAATGTAAAAATACTACAGGAACGGGCAGTCGCTTACATCAATGCAGACTCATCCGTGGAAGGTATGAAGAACTTTAATATTGAATAAAATGTTATGCATTTGGGTATCTATATTCTTAACACAGACTTTTGTTAATGGAGCAATATAACCAGTACAGTTTATTGTGTCTACGTTGCCTAGAATGCCCATAGTTTAATGTTAATTTGTTAAAGAATTGTTTCTTAACAAATAGTAGATACTCTCAGAGCCTGGAGACCGCCTATCCTCTCCTGCACTGATCATATGGAATTAAAACTTCAACATTATCGGTGTCATTTTTGTCCAACCTGGTGATTGGTTGAGAATGGAGGCAGGTCAGCTCAGCAGTTTCAGCCAATCAATGCCATCCAAGCTGAACAAAACTGACACTGAAAATGTGTAAGTGCTAATACTTAATTAGTAATCAAGCCAAGGAATTGTGGTCTGCAGTCTCGAGGGACAGATTCTTTTATTTCCATATCAGTAAATTTAAATATGATTTACATATAATTTACATATTAAAATATCAGTCCATTCCAGTATCCCCTTCTCCCAGCTTACCATTTCCCCTTCACGGTTTTTCTATCTCTCCCACCTACCTTTTCGCCTGTGGGAAAAAAAATGTGTTAAACAATATCATATCATATTTTTGTTTCTTTGCTCAAATCCATGCAAGTTTTTACATCACAACGAGCGGCTTTACTTATAAAACAAGACTCGATATTCTTTTCATTATCTGTTTATTTTATTTTTTTAGGAAACTACACATTGAGAGTTGATTGCACACCTTTAATGTACCAGTTGGTCTACCGCTTGACAAAAGAGGTATTTGTTTACCTTCTCCATTCCACCCAAGTGTCCCTATTTAGGAAGAAAAGTCCCTATTTTGGGTCCAGATCTACCTGTCCCTTTTTTATCCTAATCTAACTGTAACGGAAACCGCTGGCACCCCGACCGGGTACCTTCCGCCGACGGATGCTCCTAGTGCTTTCTGAGGACTAAGCACTCTGCCTGACACCATAACCACTGCAGACCCCACGAACCGCCGCAGCTTGGTTGGGATCTCGCCGTCTCCACCCACTCTGGACCCAGGACCAGGGTCCAGCTTCCAGCAGGTCGACCTCTCTCCGAATTCCAGAGAGCAGGAACAAGCTCTTAGCAGAGCTTAGTGATCATACCCTGGGGAGTATAGTGATTATAGCAATCCCCAGAGTGTAGTTTCTCCAATCCCCCAAACATGAGCCGAAACTTCATGAAGGTACAAGATGATCTGACTCCAATGAGCGTTTATTACTCCTTATATACAAGTTTTCAGGTCAGAGGCACACACCCTGGACCTGGTGGTAAACTGTGACAAAAGGGACACAAACCAATGGGAACACTAATTAACATAACACTCTCACATACACAATGAAATCCCTCCTCTCCATCCTGGAGATAATTGGCTTAAGGCACTGCAGTAAACTCCATTATCTCCAGGTACAGAAAATATCTACATTTAACACTAACAGCAAAATACGTAAAAGTACATAAAAATACATAATTCTTATTTTATTACACAGAACCCCCACATTTAACCTATCCCCAGATAGCTCGGATCTGAGCGCCCAATCTAGGTGAACAGCGCTCAGATCCCATGAACAGAGTAGATTTTCCACGGGGTAAAGCATAGCAAGGGCTGTTGAGAAACCAAGGAGGGACAAAAGCAGTCAGTTCCAACTAGTTTGGCAGTGTGCCTGGGACAACGCCCTGCTGGAGAACAATAGACAGGAAATGGGGGAGGGGAAGAAACACACCTTCCCATGGATTCAAATGGGAAGAAACTGTCTTAGGGAGCCAATAAGCCCCAAATAGTCTTTTTAAATGGCAATACACCCCAGGGCCATAGTCATGAGGAAGGAGGCTGGCAATCAGGCTCCTCCAAAAGCCGGGGGCAAAGGGCAGCTTGTCACCTAACAATCCAGGGACAAAAGGCATTTCGTCACACATCTCCCCTTTGGGGGGGAGACTAACCAGGTACCTGACCTGTCGGTCAGTGCCTGAGTTAGTCGTTAAACCCACCCACAGTGAACAAGTACATGAGTAGCCCACCCACAAATAACAAGTGGCAAAGTAGCCCCCCCACAATAAACAGTACTGGCTGGTAGGTTCCAGGTTGTAGGATAAAAATGCAGCATCCTCGGCCTTCCTGGTGCAGCTGGGCAAATAGCTGGTGGTACTTGGGGGGCAAAGGCCAGCGGTGCTCTGCCCTGATGTCAGCTCTTGCGCTGGGATAGCCGGCAGAATGTCAAGCTCTGTACAAGGGTCAAAGGGAGGGCAGAGGCCAACTGCACTCTGCCCAGCTGCCAGCTCTTCCGCTGGTATAGGCTGCAGGACATCAGGCTCTGGACAAGGGACACAGGGAGGGCAGAGGCCGACTGTACTCTGCCCAGCTGTCAGCTCTTCTGCTGGGGTGCTGGGAACATAGTCCGGCTCAGTAGCCAGGGGAACATGGGAGTCAGTGGGGGTTAACATCTCCTCTGTTAACCCTGGGGCCAAGTTAGGAGTTAGCTGGGGTGGGGAATTCGTACTTACCCCCTCCTCCTGTTGTCCCTGTGAGGGTAGTTGGGGATCTGGACAGGCTGTCCAGCATCCCTGTAGGTCGGGCACGGAGACCACGGTCCCCTCTGCGCCATCTGGGAGAATGGTGTCTCCCCTTGGTAGGGTAAGCTGCCGCTGGGGAGATAGGGTGCTGTGCTCCTCTCCCTGAAACACAGTCTGCCGCTGGAGAGGGAGACCGCCTGTCTCCACTCCCATAACATTGTCCTGCTGCTGGAGAGAGAGACCAACTGTCTCTGCTCCCGGTAGGACACACTGCTGCTGGGGGGGGAAGGACGACACCTTCGGCCCCCTGGAATTCACACTGCCGCTGGGGAGGATGGGCGACACCTTCGGCTCCCTGTAATTCACACTGCTGCTGGGGAGGAAGGACGACCCCTTCAGCTCCCTGTAATTCACACTGCCGCTGGGGAGGAAGGACGACACCTTCGGCTCCCTGTAACTTGCACTGCCGCTGGGGCGAGAGACCGGTTGTCTCTTCTCCCTTGTCAACACACTGCCGCTGGGGAGTCAGACCGACTGTCTCAACTCCCAGTGATGATGGTTGCTGCAGGGACGAGGGACCGACAATCTCCTCTCTCTGGGATGCTGTCTGCCGCTGGGGAGAGAGACCGGTTGTCTCCTCTCCCTTGACAATCCACTGCCGCTGGGGAGTCAGAGCGACTGTCTCAACTCCCAGTGATGATGGTTGCTGCAGGGACGAGGGACCGACAATCTCCTCGCCCTGGGATGCTGTCTGTCGCTGGGGAGAGAGATCAATTGGCCACAGCCCCAATCTCCGCAATCGGAGCTCAAATTCCCATGCCGCTCGATTCTCCTCATCCAACTTGCGCATGGTTGCCAGAATCGCCTCTGTCGAAAGATTCGGGCCATATCTGGTTAACCGCCTCTTGACCTCCTCCCTGTAAGCGTCGCCCTCAAAGCGATAGGTCATGTTTGCTGTGAACAGGGGCGCTGTACGAATACTAGCGTTGCCCTCAAATTGTAATTCCAAATGTTACCGGTGCCTCTGCGCTGCTTTTCCTGGCACTAGGACACCATCCCACCACTGTAACGGAACCGCTGGCACCCCGACCGGGTACCTTCCGCCGACGGATGCTCCTAGTGCTTTCCGAGGACTCTAAGCATTCTGCCTGACACCATAACCACTGCAGACCCCACGAACCGCCGCAGCTTGGTTGGGATCTCACCGTCTCCACCCACTCTGGACCCAGGACCAGGGTCCAGCTTCCAGCAGGTCGACCTCTCTCCGAATTCCAGAGAGCAGGAACAGGAACAAGCTCTTAGCAGAGCTTAGTGATTATACCCTGGGGAGTATAGTGATTATAGCAATCCCCAGAGTGTAGTTTCTCCAATCCCCCAAACATGAGCCGAAACTTCATGAAGGTACAAGATGATCTGACTCCAATGAGCGTTTATTACTCCTTATATACAAGTTTTCAGGTTAGAGGCACACCCCCTGGACCTGGTGGTAAACTGTGACAAAAGGGACACAAACCAATGGGAACACTAATTAACATAACACTCTCACATACACAATGAAATCCCTCCTCTCCATCCTGGAGATAATTGGCTTAAGGCATTGCAGTAAACTCAATTATCTCCAGGTACAGAAAATATCTACATTTAACACTAACAGCAAAATACGTAAAAGTACATAAAAATACATAATTCTTATTTTATTACACAGAACCCCCACATTTAACCTATCCCCAGATAGCTCGGATCTGAGCGCCCAATCTAGGTGAACAGCGCTCAGATCCCATGAACAGAGTAGATTTTCCACGGGGTAAAGCATAGCAAGGGCTGTTGAGAAACCAAGGAGGGACAAAAGCAGTCAGTTCCAACTGGTTTGGCAGTGTGCCTGGGACAACGCCCTGCTGGAGAACAATAGACAGGAAACGGGGGAGGGGAAGAAACACACCTTCCCATGGATTCAAATGGGAAGAAACTGTCTTTAGAAGCCAATAAGCCCCAAATAGTCTTTTTAAATGGCAATACACCCCAGGGCCATAGTCATGAGGAAGGAGGCTGGCAATCAGGCTCCTCCAAACGCCGGGGGCAAAGGGCAGCTTGTCACCTAACAATCCAGGGACAAAAGGCATTTCGTCACACTAACATCTTAGGAGCTTTTATGGAGCACCATATTGTTGGTGTATAACAGAGCTGCACAGTAATGTATCTTTAACCTATAATTGATTTTTTTTTTTTATAAATCTGCCTGTATAAATAAAACATTATTCTTGTTTTAAATGACATTTTACGTGCCTATTCGTGCATTATTAGTGAGTTTCCTAAATGTTTTTACAAGCAGCAAAAATAAAGAAGTATACAATCAAATCCACCTATATCCGGTATGTTATGCAAAATGAGAAATGTATTTTGGAGACATAAGAAAACTATATATTTTGTGTTCACATTAAGGCTTCAATTTAATATTTTGGATTAATTTATGAAAAAATATCAATTTATCAAGAAATATCATATTACAATTTTTTAGAAAAGTAAATCAACTTTAAAAGTATATCCAAAACTATTAAATCATTTGAAATGCTTATCCAATAGTATTAAATCAAGGTCTACGCATTGTGAATTTTAGAGTAACTTTTTATTTTCTTGTTTGTTTATTTTCTCTATGTAACTGCTGTATAAAAGTATTCTGTTATCTGCTTTCCCACCAGTACGAATAATGATGTAGCATGAATATTTCTTGATCTAGATTGAGAGTCCAGACACAGGATTTGAAGGCAAATCTCTCTATGAAAGCTGGCACCAAAAAGATAATTGGACAGAATACAAAGATTCACCGAGGTGATTGATCAGTGGAAACTTTCACTTGGCTCTGAACGTTCATGCTGCTAACTGTAAATGCCAGGTTTAAAGTCTAAATGTAGGCTAGTACATATAGTCTGTTACAAAACCGCCCTGTCCCAAGACGCCTACAAACCAGATTTTGGCTTCTAAGAAAGTAAGTGGTTCATCCACTAAACAGTGAATTGTCTTGAACTGAAAAGCAAACAGGAAAAAATCTTCAGGCACTCACAGAATTAAAGCCACAGGCAGATTTTTTGGATCAAAAAGGCAAAGCAACGTTTCGACCTACTAAGAAGTCTTTATCAAGGTTTTTAGATAATAAAGCTTGATAAAGAACTTAGTAGGTCGAAACGTTGCTTTGCCTTGCCTTTTTGATCCAAAAAAATCTGCCTGTGGCTTTAATTCCGTGAGTGCCTGAAGATTTTTTTCCTGTTTTATTTTTTAACTGAAAAGCAAAGACAATGTGGCCAAACAAAGCTAAAATCACTAAATGACGTGAAGATTTTTTCCCAACTCTATATTTTCGTATTATCCCTGTTTAGTTTAAACCCCATATATGTGCTAAAAAAGTAATGCAATGTGGATAAATGAAGGCATGGGACAGAAGACTTCAAGAATAACAATTAGTATAGTAACACAAATAATATCAAAGTAGATAAAATATGAATTTAGTTTTTCAATAAATTTCAAATACATCTCAATGTTATATGTAGCGGAGCGGCAATATTAAATCCCACGATCTCCACTTGTAAAGAAGGTAATCCACAGTCAAGCGCTGAAAAGTAAGGCAATATCCCAAATCCCCCAGTAACCGGACGAGACACAGTTCTGGGAGTCAACTGAGGTTTTTATTCACAGCATCCAGTATTTATGCAAGTCCCCATGCAAGGGGTTTCACTACCGACCTAGCAGGGGTAATACAGTAGGGGACTACATAGGGGACTTAACATTCTGGGCCTTTCTCCCATCAGGCACTGCTGCACGAGAGGGATACTCCCACTAGAATATACCGTTAAGTGGATTATCCTTCCGTGCAGCAGAACTGGCATTTTACATTTAAATCTATAACTTTAACAATATTCAGTTTATTTAAACGAATGGACGTTCGGTAGATAGCTGGGGTCTGAGTGCACAGTTCGTGGGAATACCGCTCAGATCCCAGCTAAAACAACCGAACGCTGCATGAAATACACTTTGCCATTGAGTTCGCCCCAAAGTACAGAACACCGATGGGGGAACCCTAATAGCGAAAGACCGGAGCTCCCGAATGGCCTGGAAGTCCAGCGGTGTTCGCGGCGTCAAGTAGCCATTTTTAGCTCCACGCGCTCGACGACCAAACACCGCTGGGGAGACAAAGGATCCAAGATGGCCGACCGCCGCGTGGTCGGTAGCTGAACGACGGCCACCTAGGAAAGCCTCTAATTAACGAACGCCACACGTCCTTCTCTGTGTGGGCTATTGGGGGTAGCTCATTCGGTTCACGAACAGCCTGTAAAGTGGCTGTTCGTGAAACGAAACACATAAATGCTATCAGCTTTCGGCTGCTAGCATACGAATGCAATATATACATACAGTAATACACATGTTACAGCCAAGTTACATCAGACAGTACACAAATTATTATAGGCAACCTTTTCTGTGCATAGTCCAGAATATTATAAGTGGCTAGGTTTGCCACATTATAATTACCCAGTTTAATCATTCTTATAATATTGACCTTGAGAGGTGCCAGGAATGGAATGTTCTAAAACCTTCTGAGACATAGTATCCATTTTCCCATCTCTGATTACATATTTTAAAATCAAGGGTTTGTGTTCTGTTGTCTTGTTTGGGAACCAAGGTAATCAATGTCCATAGGTAGGCAGATTTCTCATCCACTAGTCCGTGATGCCCAGACTTACCCTGTCAGTGGCATCTTTAGCCACAGGCACTGTTGGGTAACAAGAAACTTACTAGCACATTGGGACATCTGAGACTCTGCAAGAAGTCAAGGATGAAATCACATTACAGTGTTTCAGTGCCCCTTCCAAAGAGCTCAGGTCTACTTTACCTTTTACAACTATTATGAACCTATATATTTAAACCTGCAGACTACATAGTAACTGTAGAACAGTTCTGGTGTACCTAATATACCACACAGGAGAGAGGGAGACAGACTAGCACTAAGCTGCTCGAAAACTGGTAATGATAGGGATTCACTAAAAACCTATATAGAACAAGGGAAAAGAACTCTCTAGAAGAGTGGGAATACCAGGAGCTGGCTAGGTGACTAATGGCTAAAATACTAATACATAGAGATAAATATAAAAAAAAAAAAAGAAATATATAAATATAAAAATATATATATGGTACTATGCCTTTAAATCTGGAATGGACAAAGTATCCCTATAAATGTGCAAAAATGTGAGTAAAAGTGCTATGAGTGGAGATCTCAAATAAACGGGATATCCCTTTAAATGTGCAAGAATACAAAGAGAATGCTGCTATACCTTTAAATGTCCTTTAAGAGTGTGCAAACATGCAAAGCAGTGCTATATAAGGGGGGTAAAAAAAAATAAAAAAAAAAAAAAAGGTATATATATATATATATATATATATATAAATAAAATACAAAAATGCAAAAAGGGGAAAGATGAGAGACCAAATTCTCTGCTGGATGACCAAAAAATATGTATGAAACTGGTGTCTATATCCCAAACAACATGAGGGATAAATGATACCTGTTGCAAATAATATACTTAGTAAAAGATAGAAGTAAAAAATAAGCTATACAGTACAAGGAACTGTTAGCTTTAGGCAATAAAAATGAAAACAATATATCGCTGGAAAACTGAAGCATAAAACTGGATCACTTCATATAAGAAAAAAATGCCAGTTTATTGAATATAATAAAATAACTTTGGAAAAAGTTAAATATAAAAATACAGGTCACACTAGATTCAGAAATGCATTACCAGACTGAAGCATTGAAAAATAACAGCAAGGACCTTCAGATTGTTAAGGATGGATATGGATTGTGATGATTCAATATACAGCTGCCGGTGAGGATGGCTTGTGTCTGTGAGCACGTCCCGAGCAGGAGCCTCACTTCAGGGGACGTGCAGGACAGATGCCTCCGGTGGCGGTACTTTCCAAACAGGTCCTGCGTGTGCAGATTAGTGGTGCTGCTGGTACATGCGTCTGATCCCGTGTGTTGCTGGAATGCCTGTCTTACGCGTTTCGTAGGGAATGGGCCCTACTTCATCAGAGACATAATAGTGTCTAGTGCTTCAGTTCTTCTTTATATACATTGCCTAATTATCAATCACATTTAGGTGTTCAAACCAATATATTCTATACTAATAAAAACAGTATTTGTACCTGCATAAAATGATACATACATATACATAAAATGCAAATCATTGCCACTAGGGTAAAAACAATATTTATAAAGTCTCATAAAATGTAGACAGATACATAAGACCGGTAAATGTAAAAATACATAAAAGCAATATATGAATGTTCCAAATGGAAGGAACATATTTAATGAATCAATTAGAGATAATGAAATGCTGGACATAAATTGGTATATATACATGAAGATGGATAAAATCATAATAGTATATTGACTACATATGGATAACCAATACTAGATAGGTACCATATAGGTATAGTGTCAATCCATCCTTCTAGGAGAAAACAGGAGAACAAATAATAGTTAATATATACAAAATAGATAATAAATAAATAAATGAATAATCCCTGGTGGTAGTCTGTAACTATAAATAAAGGTGGAAGAAAAAAAAAAAAATAAATAAAATAAATAAATAAATAAATAAATAAATAAATAATAATAAATAAATAAAATAAAATAATAAAGATATATTATAGGAAAGCATTAAGCTCAAAATCTACATTAAGTCCCTTAGGGACCAAAGTCCCTAACTTAAAAATCCACTTCGCTTCTGTCTGATCTAGAGCCTTATCAATGCTGCCTCCTCTCCAGTGGGTATTCACTTTCTCAATAGGCATAAATGCAAGTCCTGTGGGGTCTCCCCCATGTATCTCTTTAAAGTGCTTGGAAAGATTATGCGTTGGAAGTCCCTTCTTAATATTTCTAATGTGTTCAGCAATACGTATTTTGAGGGGTCTTTTTGTACGTCCAATATATTGTTGTGGGCATGGACATGTTATTAAATAGATAACTCCTGATGTAGTACAGTCCATGTTGGTCTTGATATCATATTCCTCTTGAGTGGTGTGGGATTTAAATCCAGTGGTTGTGTCTTCTAATGATGGATTATTTCTACATGCTAGACACTTCTTGCATCTTGTGAAGCCACTGATGGTACCTTGATCCAAATCAGCACTTTCAGGTTTAGTGGTCGGTGCCAGCATAAGTTGCAGGTTGGGTGCCCTAGTAAAAATAATCTGAGGTTGATTGTCGAGGAATTTAGATAACGTTGGATCATTCTTAAGGATCCCCCAGTGCTTCCTAAGTGTCTTCTGTATTGTATGAAATTGATGATTATATTTAGTGATAAAGGTGGGTGCTGAATTGGATACTTCTGTGGTGCTGGGTTTATTGCATAAGGTATCCTCTCTTGGGGTGGTAAGTGCTATATCCATAGATTCTTCTAATAGCGTTGGGGGATAACCCTTTTTCAGGAATCTCTGCTTCATTTCTTCCATTTGTGACTTACACACTTCATTATTCGAGCAGTTGCGTCTTACCCTCCTGAACTGGTTCTGAGGTATGTTTCTTAACCATGTTGACTTGTGATGACTGTTAAAAGGAATAAAACTATTACAGTCCACATTCTTCTTAAAAGTCTTGGTGTTGATTTGTCCCTCTTTGATATAGATATCCAGATCTAAAAATTCAATGTGTTCTTTAGAGTGGTTAAAAGTAAAGTTCAGATGATATGGGTTGTTGTTAAGATAAGTTTTAAAACTCTCTAAGGATCCAAGGTCTCCTTTCCATATAAAGAAGCAATCGTCGATATATCTGAGCCACAGGGACAGATTTGCGCCAAATGGGCAATGGGTCCATATATATTCTTCTTCCCATTTGCCCATAAATAAATTAGCGTAACTTGGCGCAAATCGTGTCCCCATGGCTGTGCCTTCAATCTGTAGATAAAATAAGTCATCACACCAAAAATAATTATGTGTGAGAATAAAAACGATACACTGAATGAGGAAATCAATTTGGTCATTTTTTAAATCGGAATATGTTGCTAGGGAGAATTGTGTGGCCTCACATCCTTGGAGGTGTTCAATTACTGTATAGAGAGAGGTAACATCAGCAGTGACTAAAATCATCTCATCTTCCCACTTAAAATCAGATAAAATGTTTAAAACTTGAGTGGAATCTCTGAGGTAGGATTTTAAACAGGAGACCAAACGTTGCAAATATTGGTCAACGTATTCAGAAAGGTTTGAGGTGAGGGATCCAATTCCTGATACGATTGGCCTTCCAGGAGGTTTCACCAGTCTCTTATGTATTTTTGGTAGATGGTAGAATACCGGTATCCTTGGGTATTGGACATACAGATATTTGTATTCTCTTTCATTTAAAATCCCTCTATCCTTTCCGTAATTCAGTATTTCCTTAAGTTCGTCTTGATATTGGATAGTGGGATCACCTTTCAATTGCAGATACATATTGGTGTCTCCTAATAATCTCCGATTTTCCTCCCCATAATCGCTGGTATTGAGAATAACCAATCCACCACCTTTATCCGCTGCTTTTATTGTGATGTCTTCAGATCTCATGAGTTGTTTGAGTGCATTCCTTTCTTTTCTGGTCAAATTATCTTTCGTAATTTTCTTGGTGATTTTGCTCCTAAAGTCTTTCTCGACCATTTTTTCAAATACTCGAATGGAGTCATTTTTCATGTGTTGTGGATAAAAAGTGGAGGTTGGGTGTAGCCCAGTGTGAGTATAATCCAAATCTGTTTCTTGTTTTGCCATGTCTTTTTCAAGGAAGAATTTCTTAATTGATAACTTCCGTATAAATTTGTGTAGATCTATAAAAACGTTAAAATCTGAATTCTTGGATGTAGGAGCGAACAAATCAACACCAAGACTTTTAAGAAGAATGTGGACTGTAATAGTTTTATTCCTTTTAACAGTCATCACAAGTCAACATGGTTAAGAAACATACCTCAGAACCAGTTCAGGAGGGTAAGACGCAACTGCTCGAATAATGAAGTGTGTAAGTCACAAATGGAAGAAATGAAGCAGAGATTCCTGAAAAAGGGTTATCCCCCAACGCTATTAGAAGAATCTATGGATATAGCACTTACCACCCCAAGAGAGGATACCTTATGCAATAAACCCAGCACCACAGAAGTATCCAATTCAGCACCCACCTTTATCACTAAATATAATCATCAATTTCATACAATACAGAAGACACTTAGGAAGCACTGGGGGATCCTTAAGAATGATCCAACGTTATCTAAATTCCTCGACAATCAACCTCAGATTATTTTTACTAGGGCACCCAACCTGCAACTTATGCTGGCACCGACCACTAAACCTGAAAGTGCTGATTTGGATCAAGGTACCATCAGTGGCTTCACAAGATGCAAGAAGTGTCTAGCATGTAGAAATAATCCATCATTAGAAGACACAACCACTGGATTTAAATCCCACACCACTCAAGAGGAATATGATATCAAGACCAACATGGACTGTACTACATCAGGAGTTATCTATTTAATAACATGTCCATGCCCACAACAATATATTGGACGTACAAAAAGACCCCTCAAAATACGTATTGCTGAACACATTAGAAATATTAAGAAGGGACTTCCAACGCATAATCTTTCCAAGCACTTTAAAGAGATACATGGGGGAGACCCCACAGGACTTGCATTTATGCCTATTGAGAAAGTGAATACCCACTGGAGAGGAGGCAGCATTGATAAGGCTCTAGATCAGACAGAAGCGAAGTGGATTTTTAAGTTAGGGACTTTGGTCCCTAAGGGACTTAATGTAGATTTTGAGCTTAATGCTTTCCTATAATATATCTTTATTATTTATTTATTTATTTATTATTTTTTTTTTTTTTTTTTTTTTTTTTTTTTTTTTTTTTTTTTTTTTTTTTTTTTTTCCACCTTTATTTATAGTTACAGACTACCACCAGGGATTATTCATTTATTTATTTATTATCTATTTTGTATATATTAACTATTATTTGTTCTCCTGTTTTCTCCTAGAAGGATGGATTGACACTATACCTATATGGTACCTATCTAGTATTGGTTATCCATATGTAGTCAATATACTATTATGATTTTATCCATCTTCATGTATATATACCAATTTATGTCCAGCATTTCATTATCTCTAATTGATTCATTAAATATGTTCCTTCCATTTGGAACATTCATATATTGCTTTTATGTATTTTTACATTTACCGGTCTTATGTATCTGTCTACATTTTATGAGACTTTATAAATATTGTTTTTACCCTAGTGGCAATGATTTGCATTTTATGTATATGTATGTATCATTTTATGCAGGTACAAATACTGTTTTTATTAGTATAGAATATATTGGTTTGAACACCTAAATGTGATTGATAATTAGGCAATGTATATAAAGAAGAACTGAAGCACTAGACACTATTATGTCTCTGATGAAGTAGGGCCCATTCCCTACGAAACGCGTAAGACAGGCATTCCAGCAACACACGGGATCAGACGCATGTACCAGCAGCACCACTAATCTGCACACGCAGGACCTGTTTGGAAAGTACCGCCACCGGAGGCATCTGTCCTGCACGTCCCCTGAAGTGAGGCTCCTGCTCGGGACGTGCTCACAGACACAAGCCATCCTCACCGGCAGCTGTATATTGAATCATCACAATCCATATCCATCCTTAACAATCTGAAGGTCCTTGCTGTTATTTTTCAATGCTTCAGTCTGGTAATGCATTTCTGAATCTAGTGTGACCTGTATTTTTATATTTAACTTTTTCCAAAGTTATTTTATTATATTCAATAAACTGGCATTTTTTTCTTATATGAAGTGATCCAGTTTTATGCTTCAGTTTTCCAGCGATATATTGTTTTCATTTTTATTGCCTAAAGCTAACAGTTCCTTGTACTGTATAGCTTATTTTTTACTTCTATCTTTTACTAAGTATATTATTTGCAACAGGTATCATTTATCCCTCATGTTGTTTGGGATATAGACACCAGTTTCATACATATTTTTTGGTCATCCAGCAGAGAATTTGGTCTCTCATCTTTCCCCTTTTTGCATTTTTGTATTTTATTTATATATATATATATATATATATATATACCTTTTTTTTTTTTTTACCCCCCTTATATAGCACTGCTTTGCATGTTTGCACACTCTTAAAGGACATTTAAAGGTATAGCAGCATTCTCTTTGTATTCTTGCACATTTAAAGGGATATCCCGTTTATTTGAGATCTCCACTCATAGCACTTTTACTCACATTTTTGCACATTTATAGGGATACTTTGTCCATTCCAGATTTAAAGGCATAGTACCATATATATATATTTTTATATTTATATATTTCTTTTTTTTTTTTATATTTATCTCTATGTATTAGTATTTTAGCCATTAGTCACCTAGCCAGCTCCTGGTATTCCCACTCTTCTAGAGAGTTCTTTTCCCTACATAGTAACTGTATTTACACAATAACACTACAATCGGAAAACAGAACTGCAAACAGTGAAAGGTTTTCTTCGTTATTGTATTTAGACAGATTGCCTGGTTTAAATAACTGATTGCCTTTCAAAAGAATATTGAATTGCTTAAGCAAAGATAACCGAGCTGGATTTATTTTGGCCTACATAACGCATGTGATTTTAAATTGTAAGCTCATTGGGCAGGGCTCACTTCGCCTACATGGCAAATATATTTTGTTAAAATTAATTTATTATCTTGTTTAACTATTGTACTGCACTACAGAATATGTTGGCACTATCTAAATAATTGGAATTGAAATTCACTACAAATCGCTGTTTAGTAAATAATTCTGGAATTTGCAACCCAGAGAGGTGATGTCATACCATGAATGCCATTTAGACAGGCTTTATACAATAATTATTTTGACTGTTTTCTGGGGGAAGATTGCAAAGGTTTTGTAACTTTGAATATATCTTGTTTGTGATGAAGACAAAGTTCCACTTACGTTTTTAATAACATATCTCCTGCAAAGATGCTATAAGTAATATAGCTTATAGCCGTTTTGTCTGTAATATGTTTTCGTCAACGTCTCTCAGCACGTTTTTTTTTAACTCTAATTCTTGTTTATTCTAATCCCTTTTCTCTTGATAAGAATAAACAAGTTGGGCTCCGGAAACGATTTTGAAGTGTTTTTCCAGCGGATTGGCATCGCTTCTGGCAGAGCGCGCTACACTAAAAATAGGGTATGTGTTTATTGGAGCACCTGGTAAGTGGGAAGAATGGATCATCTATAACAGTTCTAGTGACTCATAGAGCAGTTTTATCAAGTGGCGTGTTAAATAGCTGTTATTGCAGGAAAACGTCACCCTGAAGATTTAAAAACTGTAATTGTCTTTTGAGAGAAGGTGTCATTTGGCACAGTTTCGTAAAAGGAAAGTGAAAAGATAGGATTGGTTATTTCTTTAATCTCATTGCACAAACACTATATTTATTATTGCAGTTTAAAAAAAAAACAAACAAAAAAAACTAAATGTTTAAAAACTAACAACCTCTTGCCTGTATCCTAATACATACTCCGACATGCCAATTCCAAAATAACTTTATTTTTTTATTATTACGTCTAAGAGCTTGTTTCCAACCAATAACAGCAGTGATGTCATTAACAGAGAGTCGTTAGGGGCAGTTTCTAATTACCAACTGGGTTTAAATCTTGTTGCTATTCTACCAGCTGACTGCCAATAGCCCCTGTTTTTAAAGATCCCGACCATTCGCTAGTAAAACACAGAAACACACACACTGTGTTGGTTGTCACCATAGCAACCACGCCTTGCTGGTAAAAAATGCCTCACTCTGCACATGCGCATTTTACCCTGTGATTGGCCTTAGCAGGAGATGGTGGCAGTGTATACAGCGTATTAAACCCGCCCACCCCTCCATCTGCCAAGGAAAACAGGACTGAGGGGAGAACTTGGACTCAGCAATGGAACGGAGGTAAGTTTTTAGCGTTTTTTTTGTTTGTTTTTTTCTTTCTTTTTTTCCACACATTTAGGAGGCCGCACCACATCAGCAGGGGTTACTCTAACCAAAATCTGCTTTTTGAAAATGCAGTTTTTTTTTATTTTTTTATTTCTTGAGTAGTTCTATAACAGTGTTATTAAAATGACAGCAATTTCTGTTATTTCCCCATAAAAAGTGAAGAAAGTTGTCTCTTTCCAGTCTGCTTTCTATCCAACATTTCATATAAAATTGTGAATTAATAGGAATTTAAAGCAAATTTCAAAATGTAGCCAAATATAAAATTTACTGTTGAGTTACTGACAATTCGTGGTTTAAAAAATAACCCTCACTCTATCCCTTTGATGGCTCAGCATAATTTAGAATCTCCGGCCACAATCTACTTTTAAACACTTGGGTGTCTGAAGGAATATTCAAGTTATACAGGTATTCCACGTTCTGATTAAGGAATGTTTGGAAGGCAGGTACGTAACAAGAATTCAGACGGCCTCAGTGGTGCATACCCATGTGTCTCTGAAGATACAACTCATGGGAGAAGTTATCCCCAAAGTTTTATTTCCTAAAGTAGGTTAATGGGTGTGTGCTCCCTGCAGCAATTTTCTATGGTGAGCTATTGACATTTCTCCTCCTGCAGATTCACTCACAGGCTTAGACATGTTTATTATTGTTTTATCTTTTTATTTTTATTTTATATTTTGTTATAAGTGTTTGCAGCTATAATTCACTAGCTTCCACCTGCTATTTCACTAGCATAGTGCTATCTTAGGAATTACAATATGGAAACTGAGCTCAGTTACTCTCAGTAACCAGCCTGCGAGTGGTGAAAGTAAATATCAGAAATCTCTAAACAGACTTCCGAATGCATCTGATTTTGTGTGTGTACTCGCGCCACGTGATTATTCATTGAAAGGTTATGTTAATGATTGCCAATATTAGTATTTGCTAGATTTTAGAATCCTGAAGACGACTTTTTTTTTATTAGTAGGCTGGTAAGGGCACTGTTGCATTTGGACATTATCTGCTGATCTTTGTTTTATGATGAGAATTATTAAATTGCAGTTTTTTCTTTATTTTCTAGAAAGAAGGAAGATACAGCGGGTACCCGGTTTATCACAGTGTTTATGAGATATCTGAAATTGTTGATAAATTTTATGATCCCCTATATAAAAATCATCTTGCTGTGGCAAAGGTTCGGGGAGGCCTAGTATTTGAACTTGCAGATTCCTTGGTTCTTCCTCTTGACGGTCAAGACTATGCCGACCAGCTACTGAACTATGCTACCGTTATATACAACTTGGCAAAGAAACACCCAGAAAAATTGGCGGCATATAATATATCATTTGGTATGTAGCATATAATCCAAATTACCATTTATACTAGAGAGTATAGAACAGGGAGGTGTGACTAGGGCTGTATAAAGAAAGCGATTTAACTCCAAAATTGCAGGGAATTAAGCAGTGAGACTGCAGGGGTATGATCTATACACCAAAACTGCTTCATTAAGCTAAAGTTGTTTTGATGCCTATGGCATCCGTTTAACAGTCTTCTTGTCTGCCAATAATTCAGTTACTAATAGTGAGATGATGTAGCATTGAAACAGTGACTTCTACTTTACCAAGTCTCAGCTGGTCATTAAAACTTGCCACTAACTTTAGAAACAAGACCTAAATTGTAGGCATGTGCAAGGGAAAATGGTTTTGTTCGGCATTCTGAAATTTGGGACTTCGGCACTTTGACACTTCAGTAAAGATTACTTAGTATTAGTAAATTTTGACCCTACTTGCTATACCGCGAGTAGGGGCATGTCTAGTAAACAGTGAGCAGCTTGTGGCTGCTCACTGTTAAAAAAATAAAAATTAATTAAAAAAGGGTCCCCCCTCCTGAGCTGGGGGCCCTAAATTAGAATAAGGGGGGGAACCTATTGCCCTCCCCAGCCACCACCCCTTAGCGGCAGGTGGGGGCCCTAAAGTAAAATAATGGGGGGACCTATTGTCCTCCCCCCAGGCCCCTAATGTCCTCCCCCTGCCCCCCACCCCTGAGTGGTGGTTGGGGCCCTAAATTAGAATGGGGGGGGTGTCGGTTTTCGGTGATCCTTCAATATTGATAGTTATGGCTCGCTTCAGGTATGATGTGGACCTTTACCGACAAAAGGTCACTCCGGGTCATTCTAAGCTTAGTGTGTCTTTATGCAATCTATAGCTGTATACGGAGCAGACTCTTCTGTTCCCAAATTACTTATAAATACTGTTTTCCTTAACCATTCTAGATGATAACTTGACTATCACTAAAATAATCCAGTGTCTGAAGACCCAAAAGGCACTGTAATAATATTGTAATAAATGAAACAATGACTCAAATAAATATAAGATAAAAGTGTATTGAATGAATGTTACAGAATGCAAAAATAGTCAGTAAATAATTAATCTTACCAAATGTATTAGTGGCTACAGCATATGTCCCTGTATACCTTTCAGATGTGTGGTGACAGCAGGCAGAGTAAGAGTAGATGGATGAATGAATGAATGGTGAATGAATGACAACGTCACACTCTTTCTCCTTCAGTTAAATAGCCATTTTGTCCTCCATAAAGCAGCCCCCACCTGTGTAATACTCCCAAAAAGGTATTCTAACTTGTTGCAAGATGTAATGTATTGAATATCTAAGTTTGGGATATACCCTAGATGGCTCTGCCTATAGTTAGCTTCAAAATTAAGTGAAGTGTTTTGTATACATTTGACTGACAACACATGTGTTTGTTCTAATTTAACTTCAACCTTTTAGCTGTCAACCTTGTGGAAATGTCATTGAAAATTTAACTTTTTCAAATCTAAGCAAAAAGGCCTGCAATATTTCATACACCTATGTTATACAGCTAAATGTACATTCATATTAGATATATATATGCACCATACCATATAATACATATATATATATTGCAAACTACACATTAAATAATGATCAACACTCCACAGGGGGGACCTAATGTCCTCCACTCTGTCCCCCACCCCTGAGCGGTGGATGGGGGCCCTAAATAAAAAAAAAAACCCTCCCGCATGTGATTAGGGGTCCACAAACCCCTAGTCACCCCCCTCCCCCCAAAAATTAACCCCTTTCTACCCCCCTCACCCTAAAAATAATAATACCTGTAAAAAAATAAAAACTTACCATTTGATGTTTTCTTTCTTCTAAAATCTTATTTTTTCAACCCCAAAAAGGCCAAATAAAAATCCATAATAACCAACGCAATAAAAAACCACGAGCGCAAAAAAAGAAAAAAAAAATCCATCTCCACTCATGGAGGGCTCCGTGCAGACTGAGCTCTGCAGGGCGGGGGAAGGCTTATAAAGCCTTGTCCCGCCCTGCAATTAGGCTCAGAGCTCTTTGATTGGTGGATTTCAAACCAACCAGCCATCCAACCAGCCATCCAATCAGAGTGCTGTGACAGGTAAATGTAGAGACTTACCTGTCAGTCTCTTCATTTACCTGTCAGAGCACTCTGATTGGATGGCTTAAACCCACCAATCAGAGTGCTCTGAGCCTAATTGCAGGGCGGGGCAAGGCTTTATAAGCCTTCCCCTGCCCTGCAGAGCTCAGTCTGCACGGAGCCCTCGCCGGGTGAAGATGGCTTTTTTTTTTTTCTTGCGCTCTCTTTTTCTTTTTTTTTATTGCGTCGGTTATTATGGATTTTTATTTGGCCTTTTTTGGGGCTGAAAAAAAGAAGATTTTAGAAGAAAGAAAACGTCAAATAGGAAGTTTATTTTAATTTTTTTACAGGTACTTAGTTAAATGGTCCCCCCTCATTATTTTTAGGGTCAGGGGAGTAGGTAGAGGTTAATTCTTTAGGGGAGGGGGGTGACTAGGGGTTTGGGGACCCCTAGTCACCTGTGGGAGAGGGGGTTATTTTTTTTATTTAGAAACATAGAAACATAGAATGTGACGGCAGATAAGAACCATTCGGCCCATCTAGTCTGCCCAATTTTCTAAATACTTTCATTAGTCCCTAGTCTTATCTTATAGTTAGGATAGCCTTATGCCTATCCCACGCATGCTTAAACTCCTTTTACTGTGTTAACCTCTACCACTTCAGCTGGAAGGCTATTCCATGCATCCACTACCCTCTCAGTAAAGTAATACTTCCTGATATTATTTTTTAAACCTTTGTCCCTCTAATTTAAGACTATGTCCTCTTGTTGTGGTAGTTTTTCTTCTTTTAAATATAGTCTCCTCCTTTACTGTGTTGATTCCCTTTATATATTTAAATGTTTCTATCATATCCCCCCTGTCTCGTCTTTCCTCCAAGCTATACATGTTAAGATCCTTTAACCTTTCCTGGTAAGTTTTATCCCGCAATCCATGAACCAGTTTAGTAGCCCTTCGCTGAACCCTCTCTAAGGTATCAATATCTTTCTGAAGATACGGTCTCCAGTACTGTGTACAATACTCCAAGTGAGGACTCACCAGTGTTCTGTACAATGGCATGAGCACTAACCTCTTTCTACTGCTAATACCTCTCCTTATACAACCAAGCATTCTGCTGCTCTATTACATTGTCTGCCTACCTTTAAGTCATCAGAAATAATTACCCCTAAATCCCTTTCCTCATATGTTGAGGTTAGAACTCTATCAAATATTCTGTACTCTGCCCTTGGGTTTTTACGTCCAAGATGCATTATCTTGCACTTATCCACATTAAATGTCAGTTGCCACAATTCTGACCATTTTTCTAGTTTACCTAAATCATTTGTTATTTGGCTTATCCCTCCTGGAACATCAACCCTGTTACATATCTTAGTGTCATCAGCAAAAAGACATACCTTACCATCAAGACCTTCTGCAATATCACTAATAAAAATATTAAAGAGAATGGGTCCAAGTACAGATCCCTGAGGTACCCCACTGGTGACAAGTCCAAGCTTCGAATATATTCCATTAACTACAACCCTCTGTTGCCTGTCACTCAGCCACTGCCTTACCCATTCAACAATATTTGAATCCAAACTTAAAGATTGATGTTTTATGACCCTTTTGCCCCCCCCCCTAGTTTAAATACATCCTAGCAAAACCTTTGAACTGCTCACTGAGAACATTTGTTCCCTTTTGAGAAAGATGCAAACCATATTTTTTGTACAGCTTATCTCCATTCCAAACAGAGCTACCATGAGAAATAAAGCCAAATCCTTGCTCCCGACACCATTCACCAAGCTACAAATTAAAGTCCCTAATACGCATCCGCCTGTCGTTCTGAGTGTTATGCACAGGCAGAACTTCAGAGAATGACAGTGTGGAAGCAACCTGCCGTATATCATTGGCAAAAACGCTAAAAACTTCCTTAACCTTTGAAACCTCATTGCAAG